CGATGTAGAAGGTTTATTTCAAAACAATGTTTACGTTCGATCGATTGGGTTTACAAACAAATCAGAGTAAAATCCTAGGAAAAAAGACATTAAGTTAAACACGTATGACACCACGAACAAGCAAGGCACATTTAACTCACAAACAATGCGATAAGAAGACAAAAACAAGATGAAAATGAAGAGAGAACAAACACTTACCAAACGATGAACGACTCACAATAAGCACATGGCAGACAACACGGCGCGCGGGGTTAATCGGTGAGGGAACACACGGACACTGGACATACGGAACGACGGATACACGAAACTAAACTTAATACTGTTGAGAATGCCTCAACATAGTACATAGTATATCTAATGTAGTACTGTTTGGTGGATTAAGCATGAGCACCATCTAACAAGAACAGGAACTTTTCGATTTTACAGCCATGATATGAAGTAAATCAATATCTAGCATGTTTAAACAATGCTAAAAGACCATAAATCCTTATTGTTAATGACATTTGAGAACTCTTCTGCAAGCTCATTATAAGATTGGTAAGACGTGGGCACTTCAATAGTTGGCCCACAGATGTGTGCAATAGGTTTTCGTAAAGCACCATCTAAGGTATTAAAGGTAACTTCAATGGATGTCACTGTAACTAGAATACTACCAGTTGTAAACTCCAAAAAACTTTTCTGTGAGTTTTCATTGAGAGACTTGATAAAACGTTTCAGAAAATCTAAGCAGTTATGTTGTTAGTCATTTGAAGGAGTGACATCTAGCAACTTTACAACCTTCTTTGCAGTTGGCTTTTTAGCTTCATAAAACTGTTTCATAGCTTCTAAAGAAGTGAATGCAGGTTGACCCTTCAATGATACAAAAATTGGTTTCCAGCAATTTGATATGTACTTAGGCTTTTGTATGAGCTCCTGGTGAGCGAGTTGACATGTGAGTTGTAAAATGTTTTCTTTTGTTGGACGTTTATAACACTTATAGCTGCTTAGCAGGTCAAGAAGGTCTTCATCACATTCATCAAACTCACATGTTTTACATTTAAGCAAAACTTCTGCCTCATTATTTGCCACATACAACAAAAATGACTCAAAAAGGAAGTCTTCACTAATAGAATTCTCATCAAACAAGCAGCACCCAGAATACACCATAAAGTTCAACTGGAAAGTAATTAACCTTATTGTAACCATAAACTAAAATTCTGGCTTTAGCCTCCCATTCTTGGCGCTGATAGTCATGTCTGACKGATGGCACTTTTTCTGTTGCACCCATTGAAGGGAAGTAAAAAAGTGATTCATGATCTCACGTAACACCCCAAAACCTCTACCCTTCTCTTCCTGCCCACGCTCATCTACAATGATTACGTTTAAATCATTACTGAATATTTCAGTATATTTGAATTCTTCAATAAGATCCTTCAACAGATTACTTMTKTGAACCAGTACATCTCTTGATGGTAAGTTTCCTAAACATAAAATACATAGTTAAAATATAGTAACATAGTTTATTTATATATTTCATTATCAAGCTTTACGTCCAAAGAATCGCCAGTGTTGCAACTTTTAAAATATATGATTTGAGATTAATTTTCCCTTGTGGATTTTTGGCAAAGCAGTAATGGTCTTACCTTGGTCTAAATTCAACAATATGCTGRGCACAGCTTCCTTGCTTACACCTTCAGCAGATGAAGACCCTTGAACGTTGATACGTGATAAGGTACATTATTCATTGGACAATAGTTCATTAGCAATTTTACAGTATTTGTCTTGTCTGTTGTTTCCCTTAGTAGATGGCACACTTTATAAAAGTTARATGCTGTAATTCTTCCTGCACGTTGGTTGAACCAGAATTGGCTTTGTCCCTRGTGAATGGTTTTGTAACATATGACATCAATTTGATTTTCATCAATTTCAATAAAGTCCATAAATTTCAAAACAGTTTCCTCATCCAACTCTTCCTTGCAATCGTGCWATTCAACACTTTTGAAAATGTCAGCATATTCCAACATGGTATATACTGTAACATTTTGAACAGTTTCAAACAATTCGACATTCAAGTTATCATTCATGTGTTTGTCCAGACTAGATTTGTCAGTGACTTGTACACTGGGTTCTTACAAAAACGCCAAGGCCAAAGAATCGGGACAAACTTACTGAAGACCCTTTCGCAGAGACTCACGKTTTGAACCTTGATCTACAGCAGTACATCTTGGGTCAAAATTGTGTGGTTTGAAGTACGTTTTCTCTTCTTTTCCAAACTCTGCTTTAGTTACCTTTAACTCATCAAGGGAAACAGCATAGCTATCATTTCGTTGACGCCTTTTCCATACACATTTTTCAGAGGTGCACGTACTTATCATGTTACTGCAAACAGTTGCTTGAAGATCAAACAAAGCAGCAGCGACATGTTTATAAAGACCATCCATCCCCCCTTTACACTCGCAGTAAGCAGAGTGGACGTCAGCGTCATCTTTCATAAACGCGAATCCATTGTATGTTGGCAATCCACCTTCTGTTTTGCTCCTATCGGTTGGCTTAACGGAAAATTTAAAGAAGCAGTACTTGGTTCTCGGTACGGCATAAAATTGCAACTGCACTACGTGGCCGTCTCTGTATAACTTGAATCCTGTGAGACTTTTGAAAGCACGGAGACTCTCTTCCGTATAATCATCCTTGCCAATGAAGTAGCTATACAGTTGTCCAAAAGTGAACTCAGGTGTTGTTGAAAAATTGTACGTCCATCCAGTCACATCTTTAGGATTGGGAAGCTGATCTCCTTTGTCAGTTCGCAACTTTTCCTTCAATACTTCCGATAAATTATACTCGAAAGGAGGATCAATTTTAGGCTGTTTCATCTTTTCGGCATTGACGCAATGCAGAAGCAAGTCATCCTTTCTCTTTCTCTTCCCTCCCTCATTCAAGGGAATCCCTCTTTCTTTCAAATAGTCCTTGAAGACATCGACATTTAAGCTCTGAAAATCTGACACCGTCGCCATTCTTATGTTGTTTACATAATTTCGCACGGAGCCTCGCATTCGTGCTATTTTTCGGCTCCAGTCCAGCGCGACTAAGGAACTCGGAAAAAGGCGATTGAAGTACAAGTGGCAGTTGGTTGATAGTAGTTTTTACCTGCTAAAACCCTTATGTTACATTTCATGCATACATAATCTACTGTTTGTGTTAAAACAGAGATGCTCGTAAGGAATACCTGCTTGCTGTTCTATAGCATGCTGTCCACAGCGTCCACACTGGAACTCTTAATCTGTAGAATACATGCGTATAGTACCACTCTCGGACTTATGTACTCCAGAAGAGAAAAGTTTTTCTTTATGGCCACAAGTTTGGCAATTTTTAGTAAAAACAACTCCTCTTCCATATTTGTCCATCAATTCATCAATAACTGTAATTTAATCAAATTAATCATTAATTAATTCACTCATCCTTATCCAAGCCACCATTACTGTTAGAGTATGAAGGATATTGGGAAAAACATGAGAAAAGTTTGAAAATCATGAATGGTAGGTGAGTGATTTTCAAACTTTTTCAAGTGTTTCTCCCATATCCCAAGTGCTCTATTTCTCTCAGAGTCATAGAAAACTATCTTCCATTGCTTTTATGTTATATCAATAGCTCTCATCTCTCAACCCAAAACTACGTCTTTACCGGTGAAATAGAGCATAGATTTCGGTGGTCTCTTGGCCAGTAACTATCTATTGCTATATTATAAAATTTAATTATAATATAATTTATAAAATTTAATTATAATATAATTTATATTTTTTAATTATAATATAGAACTACAGAATATTCATATTTCGTGTCTTTTATCTAACTCTACTGCAATAAGTTAATATTCAGGCTTTAGTTTCCAGGTTAATTAAGACACTACGCTTCAATGCCACAATGCACTTATCAATATACTGTAAGTCCCTGAAGAGGGGAGTGGGTATTCAGAAGAGGAGTGGGATTTGAAAAAAAAAAATCCCTTAGAAAAAAAAATTTAAATGCCCCAGGGTGGGGAATCAGTTGTCAATAAAATGCACCC